TTCAGTTTTTAATTTGATTGAATTATTCTCGTAATTTTTAAGTAGTGTTGCAAGGTTTTGTTTAAGAATAGGTAACAGATTTTTGGTTGTTTCGTGAATAGATTTTTTAGTTGCAATGATTGCCGCTGCTTCAGCTTGTTCTGCTGTTTCTTTACGTTTCTTTTCGGCTTGTTCTGCTTCTTTACGTTTCTTTTCGGCTTGTTCTGCTTCTTTACGTTTCTTTTCAGCTAGTTCTGCTGCTTCTTTACGTTTTTTTTCAGCTAGTTTTGCTGCTTCTTTACTTTTTCTTTCAGCTTCTTTGGCGGCAGCTTTTTCAGCAACTTTTTTATCGTCTGGATTAGTCAATTCAGCAAGTTGTTGTTTCATTTTTTCAATAAACTCTTTGACAACTTTGATTACTTGTAATATATGAGGTTCGGCATGATCATGATAAGCAGGTATTATTACCTTATTAATTAAATATTTGGAATCTTCAACACGTTGATTAGCGAATGGGACCATTTTATGATTATAAAAGTCAACGACTTTAACTTTTGATGCAATCAAACGTGGTTTGACTTCCGATCGATAAAAAGGTTGGACTTTTTTATTGTTGAAACTTATTGACGATTCATAAGCCTTCAATACATAGTTTTGAACTTTGCTTATATAGATGGTTAACAGTTCTTGTGTTTTATAATAATATTTGTTGACATGTTCTTTTGCATGTTGATTATAAAGTGATCCGACTTTTACGAATGATTTTTGAAGAGTATCCTTGGTTGGTGAATAAACATTTTCTGTAGTCCAAACTTTAGTATGTTCCAAGTATGGTCGAGATTTTTCTATATAGGTGTCAACATGAGGTTTTGCATGTAGTTCATAATGTGGATAAATTAGTTCATGAGCTTTATTAGTATACGTTACTGCATCAGCATTTAATCTAATGATACCGGGTTCAACGTAATGTTTAAACCAGTCGTTTTTTAAGATGTATTGAGATAAACCGTTGAAACAAAACAATTCTCCCATCTCGGAGCATTCTTCACGTTTTTTCTCGTAACAACCAAATATTACACCAAAGATATATATTAGTAATATTTTTTTCCATGAGAAAAAGTTGACAAGAAAATTTGATTTTGATGATTTCTAAAAAAATTAAAAATATAAATGTTTGATGATAAGTATTAATTTTTGATGAGGGAAAAAAATCGAAAGAAATGGAAATGTGAAAAACAATAATTACTTTTGATTTCACTTTCTTTGGAGTTTTTTTTGATGGCTAAATAAAAAGAAAAAAGAAATAAATTAGATTTAATTAATATTTAAAATGACTATTGAATAATTTATTACCTTTTCTATATTATCCGTATTGGTATTTGTATTAGTATTAGTATTGGTGTTGAATTTTTTTACTTTTCCATTGTTATTACTTTTAAAAGCGGAAGGCTCAATTTCTTTATCATGTTGCTTTTTACTATTATCTGAAGCAGTGGAATGTCCATTAACCAATGTTGTTTGTGATGCTTGAGAAGAAGGTGGGGTTGGTGGTGATTTATGAATTATATTGTCAGTGGAATTTAATTGTTGATTTTTTTTATTGGTTTTTTTACCCATTGTTGTTTTAAGTTAGTTTTTTTAAAGTTTAAGTTATAAAAAAACTTAAAAAGTTTAATTTATAAATTAGCAAAGAAAAAAAAAAATTTTTTTTGTTAAAAAAGTAACTTTAATATAAGTTTTGATGGTTACACACCAGTTGTGTTCTCAACAGACCAAACAAATTTCAACACATCATCATCATTATCATTTATCACAATATAATTTCGGGGATTAAAAATAAAAAATTTTATTTTGTCCACCCACCCACCGCCTTTATTCAATCCCTTAATTCCATTAGAGATGACGCCAAATATACTATTGGGACCTTTTCTTACCATCAAGAACATGGCTAGTTGCGATTTAAAAATTAAAGCACCCTTTTTGTTATTATTAGGAATCAAGTAAATTCTAAAAATTCTGAAATAAAATATATCATAATTATACGAACAAATAGTTTTCGTTAAGCAAGGCTCCCTGATGATAACAGTGATGATCATGAATTATATCGAGTTATATCGAATTATTCGTCGCTCACTCTATTCTAAAAGGATATTGGATATGGGATCAGCACGGGTTCCTTTTGTTATGCTTGATACGATAATTTGGCCAAAACTTTTCTTCCTCTAGAATTCAGGATGAAAAGATATCAAGTTGCTCTTTTGTAATGATGAATCGTTTTCATTTTAAATATTTGTCGAGTTTCTGGGGGAACAATGAAACCTTGCTAAATGCAAAATTTTTGGATGTGATAGATATGAATTGCCAAAGCCAACACCACAAACAATAGAATATTTTAATGTTTGATGATTTCTTTGCCATGTGATAAATGCAAAATAAAAATAATACTGTAGTCTGTCTGTCTGTCTCTTTTTACTCCTTCCTATTACTATTGATGAAAAAATTGATGTGAGAGAGATTAGGGAGAGAGACCTCGATAAAAAAATTAATGTAAAAAAGGTTTGTGATAGATCACGTTATCAGGGTACTTTGTGTAGTTGGTCACTAAAATCCAAATCCCTGAAATATTTTTTGACTATTATCGGAGATTTGAAATATAATTGCGACACTAACCGGTTATTAATAAAACCAATAAATTCCATTAGCATAAAAATAGACAAGTAGTGTAAATTTAATTAATAATAAATAATGGGAAAACCAAACAAAGTGTACATAATGTCGTACAATAAATTGCAAGGGTTCAAAATGACCAATGATAATAATAACAATAATAATAATGTGAGGTCTGTTATTAAACACAATTGTTGTCTTCGTATGTTTTAGCACTTTTGTGCACCATCATGACAATCTTTACTATATTAATTAAAAAATAATATTAATTAGATATTATTATTGTATCATCATCGTGCACCGAAAAAAAATAGCATCATTGTAGTTGTCATAATTACCAAACTTTTATATCAAAAAAAAAAAAGTATTAATGTCAATTGATATTGATTGGTTGGTTGTGAACACGGGAAATACGTGAGTAGATTAAATATTTACAATAATTATATTTTATTTGTAAATTATGAAAATATAAAGATGTAAGTAAATCCATCGATCCAATAATAATCTATAAACAAATTCTTAAAAATGTTAACGAGAGAGGACGTGAAACAATTGTAGGCATATCATTACCATTAAAGGCTTTTAATAGTAAATTAAATGAATCTGATGACCAATTTCGTAATGACAAATCAACACAAATTGAACAAACAAAGTCAAAGATTTTTGAAACAGTGAAGGCTAATAACAAGAAATACGTTGACGATGAATTGACTAATTTTGTTCAACAAGAGATCAATACAGCTTCAGTAGAGGTCGATCAAAAATTTCAAAAAATATCTTCAAAAATTAATACTAACGATAAGGTTATTATTGAAGATAAAATAAATTCATCGAATGAGAAAATAAAAGAATTGAGTAGACAAGTTTTAGAATTTGGTAAAAAAGTAAGAAATTTAATCATTAGTAGAAATAAAGAAAAAAGTAAAGTGGTTGATAGCACTACTCCTAGTAGTAAAACCGTCAATAATAAACAAGAAGAATCAGAAACAACCCCCAAATCAAAAGTAGAATCACCACAACTTTTGGTTCAATCACCTGATCTTGTTTTAAGTACTTTGAAAAGAAGATATGATCCTATTTTATTAAAATTAAAAGAAAATTATAAAAAAATAACTAATAATGAAAAGGGAGAAGAAGAGGAGGAGGAGGAGGAGGAGGAAGAAGAATATGAAGAATATGAAGAAGGAGATGAAGAAGAAGATGATGATGAAGATTATGATGAAGATAATGAAGATGCTGAAGATACTAATGAATACGTAAATGACAAGCAAGGAACTGGAACAGATGAAAAGTAATACCGAATGGAGGAAAAAAATAATAAATAATAAAATGAATAATAAAATAACAAATAATAGATATTAGAATAAATAAAATAAATAAATATTATTTAGATATTTCTTTTCGTCAAAATAAAAATACTTATATTGCTGAATTTAGAAAAAACTTTTATTATATTGATGATAATAAATTTTTTTATATATAAATACTTTCTTTTTTTATATTTTCATATTTTCATTTTTTTTTTTTTTATAACAATTATTTATACATAATTCCACATCTTTTTTTGCATTGATTATATTATTATCATATTAATTTTCTTTATTAAATATTTTTTTTTTTTTTGTAATAATTTTTTCTTTTTAAATTATTAAATAAATTACAATGTAAGTAAATATCTATTTATCCACTCGTTAACAAAAAAAACTCGTTGATTAAATCAAAAATTGCCACCAAACCTTTTTTAAAAGTTCATCACTGTATAATCTCTTAAATCCTAATCTATAACAGCAAAATAAATACCCTCTTGACTGATCCATTCAGAATTTTTATCATTCCTTGAACTGCCCACAACTTCAATATGTCCGTGAATGGGGTTGCTATAGGTGTGATCACGATTTGCTGATAAATATCGGCCTGTTTCAACATGTTGTAAATAAATTTTTTCTTCTCGATTCCAATGTGTTGATGATTTGTTTGTACAAATTATCTTCCAATTATCACCTATATATAATGAATTAATTAATCAATTGGAGAGAATTGATGATGTCGTGATGAGGTAGAGGAAGGAATAGAAGGAATAGAAGGAATAGAATGGAAAGAAAGAAAGTAGGAAGAAGAGAAAAGGGGTGGGAAATGACGTTATAATTTATTTATGTACCAGAATCTAAACCATCAAAAGCACTAATTTCTTGTTGATTTGATAAAGGTGAACGGTGTTGATGACTATGTAAAAATTTATTTGTGCCGGCATGTTGTAATCTAATAATTGAATCACATAGAATTGCTTTTCTAACAATATAAAAAAAAATGTTTCTTATATTATTTTTTGCTTCAATTTTTCCATTGTTTCATTTTTATCTTTCCATTTTTCTTTTCTTACAAGCATAAAATAATGGTAACAGTTACCCTCTATGACAAATATCTCCATTTGCAGCTTTCACAATCCACAGTGACTCAGGATCATCTGGCAATGGTAACCCTGTTACACCTTGTTGACCAGATCCGGTTCCTAAAACAAAAAAAATAATTATAAAGCGAATGAGTGATTTAATATAATTAATGAAAAAAATTGGTTTTTGTCCAAAGAATCTTTATATTTTACCATAGACTACTTTTTTTTCTGAATGTAATTTATAATTTGATGAACCGTGCGTTAATTTTATTGCTGAACCACATGTTACTTTTTAAATTGATTAAGAGCAATAGTTTGATTAATTGGTTCCATTATGGAACTTTGGAGAAAATATAATTTGTTCAAATGATAAATTTTCCTTTTTTTTTTTTACCTCTTTCAAATTCTTTATTTTTCGAAATAAAAATAAATAAAAATTCAATTAATTTTAATTTTGTTTTTCTTAACAAGCCTCAAAAAATCTTTTAAATCTTTTAAACCAAGCCTCCTACCTCCAACCAATTTTTATTACTAAAACAAACTCAATTACCTTCGGAAATGTCTAATGCTTGACTTTTTACAATCGATATACTATTGATGATGATGATAACTAATATGATTATTATACTTTTAATATTGTCTAATTTATAATTCATTTTTCTAATATGTTTTTTTTAAAAAAAAAAATTGAAATTTGTGAAAATTTAATTGGAATTTGTAACAAGAACACTGGAATATGTTACACAGAACATGTTGCTCACCAAACCATGTCGACTGAACAATGATAAAGAATCCGGGCTAGTGATTAAACATTTTAATTTATGAAATGGTCTGTACGGAAGGAATCTGGATATTCATTAATTATAACAATGACTACTAGGAATCATCCTTCTTGTCCCAGTGACAATAGGGAGGACAGGTCAAAGTTTTTTGTACAATTGTTACTTGAAATTGGAACAACTTGCTTTCCAACAAATAATCCTGAAATTATATAGTAGATGCATTTTGCTTGATTAATAATAATAATAAAAAAAAGGATTACTATATGTATCAATGATTTTCAGGAAATATTTATAAATTAATTCAGTAAATATTTTTTATGTAAAGAAAAACTATTAAAATTTTAAACAGTTCATTATATAATGCAGATTTGGAGTGTTGACCAATTTGTCCAGAATTCACATTTATTTTTGAGCTTGGCATAATCACATTTTTTTGGTGCACCACACATCTATTTCCAGAGAATGGGCTCAAAAGTACATTCCCAAAATCCCTTTATGTCTTCAAAACAGCCACATTTAAAATATTCAACACAATCACCAAATTTCATCTTGTTAAAATAAAAGCAACATAGAACTGATATTAAATCATCATTTAGCTCAAAAACAAATTGGTCAAAACCATCAGACAGTAGACCCAAAATTCGAGGAGAAGCATAATGGTAGGTACCAGAGTATGTGTTCAGAGTATTCATTCATCCTACTTGTTTTAATTCTTTTATAAAATTTCATCTTCTCCAAGTTTGGGCTTGGATATTACATCAAGGAGATACATTTATAATTGACTAAATGCCCATGTACACTTAGGCCATTAAGCATGATATACTTTCCTTTTGACAAATTAGATCGTAACTTAATTTGTGTTGGAACCCTTGGATTGTATTACCTTGATAATGCGGGTGGTGGTAGCATCAAGATAAAATAATATATGTTTTTATATATTTAATAAAATATTTTGTGCCTTTTTTGGGGTGCTATAGTTTTATAATTCATCAGTCACGCGATATTGTCCTGTGTAATGAGAATGTTTTTGCATCTAAGCTACAAGAACTGCTAAAATATTCGAATCATATGTTGAATCAAGTTGGCCTGATCCCACAACGCAATTTATTGGACTATGTCCATGCATTTAAAATAGAATTCAAGTCATTTATCCATATTAATATATATGTCAAATATGTCTCGCAAATCTAGAAATAATAGGCGAAAAACCCAAGGTAGATTCACCGATAATCCTAAACAGTATATACAATTTTTAAACTGGGATAAGTACATGCAAAGAAAAGACAGTGATCACATAACTATCATAAATAAGAATACACAAGATGTGAAAGCGATTTTTAATTATGCAGATATTTAGAGGTAAATAATCTCGATCCGAATATTCTCGGCCATGCTTAATACTACTATTAACTTCATCATCCCTTTTTTTCGTATTTCATAAAAATTTTCCGCTAACATTTCCAAAAATGTAACCTGAAGTTGGTCGTGAACACTTGTTGACGATGGTCATGTTTGTTCCATTTTGGAGTCTGAAATCGGATATGATAATCTAATTAATTAGGTTCTATATCATTAAACAAGGTTACAACTGAGAACGCAATGTGAGCTTTTGCTTTTCGTGTTACAAAACACGCATACCGTGCTACGCGAGAATAAAAATTCAATTAAGTTGGGTTTTGCGTCTTCTTTGTCGCAAAGAGCAAAAAAAGACATCGCTCGGGCCAAGACAATAGTCTATTTTATTAAATTCGAAACATATGAATAGGACAGCCGTCCAAACTTATTTTTTTGTTATTTTTTCGTAGAGAAATTCCTCTCAGGCTAATCCAGCGCACGGAACTCACCTTCTACATTCGGTCACATGAAATAATTGTCGTTATTATTATACAACGTTATTATAGGAGACCGTTCTGGTAACACAAATTTTAACCCACGCAATTGTTGATTGATTGACTAATTAAAATCGTGAATTTAAAAATAAAACATTTAATGTGGGTTTGATTCATTGTCAACAATCACTTCACGAACAATTGTTCCATTAACAAATGGTTCGAATTTAAGAAATTGGAAGCAACCATGCGACAAAACCTTTTAAAAGTTTAATAAATTAAATCGTGCTACTCGAAAATGGATTTAAAGGGTTGGTTTTTGACTTGGTTGAAGAATAACTCTCTTCCTAACTCTTCTCTTGACCATATCTCTCGATATAATCAAAAATAACCTTAATATAACGAATGTCAAAATGATTGTAAACGCGACCAATTTAAGATATACGATCAAGATGAAACATGAACGAAATCAAACAAATTTATTTAATAAAATAAAATTTACAACTCAAAAAATTTTTTTTTTTGCATGTAATAAAATTCCATTATTAACTATTAACAATCTGATCATATAGATCTTGACCGATCAAACCCACCTATGTAGTTATTGAATAATTGATAATAATAAAACGTTAATTAATTGACCCTTCGTGACACGACCCTTCTGTTTTGTTAATTTTTATTATTTATTTTATTTAGTTAAAAGGAAACATTTAAAAAATTAAAAAAGATAAATTTCGCTAATTGATTTGATTGGTTACATTTGTAATATACGAAGATCCATCAATCAATAATATTATAATTAGTAGCAACGACGACAACGAATCATCGTTTTTTGAGGATGATAAGATCCAGTTTGTATAGGAGTGATCGAAGTAAGCGTTAAGGACAAGATTTATGAAGCTTTCAAAATATTCTAACAAACGTTTTATCAATTATTCAATAGTTTGTACAAGCATTAAGGACAAGATCTATGAACAAAATAGGAAAATTTTTCTCAAAATTGGCGACGTGGCAAAAAACACAAAAAGACCCAATTAATGCTTCACTGGAATTTGAATTAACCAATCAATTGTTTACGATCGAAAACTCGAGCAAAGTAATCTATTAATAGTCTAATGTGTACGTACAAAGAAACAGCAAAGATGTTTTGTTACTACAGTACTAAATCATGAAGTTGCATCATTTATTGTTATCATGGTGATACGACGTTATACAAATAGTCTAATTTAACATTAACTAATGTGATACAATAACGTTATACAAAATAGAAAACTTTAAAAAATGTTTTTTTC